CAAAATATACTTCATGCATGTTTGTTATTTTTATGTTTCCTCTGTCCCCCCCCCCCCCCCCCCCCCAGTACTAGCACTATAAACAGCCACAGCTTTGCGTAATGCTTGTGTTCGACATCTGTTTTGGTTGGAGATATGTCACAATTGCTAAAACTTCTCTTCCTGCATCTGTTTATGGCTAGCTGTAGGAGTGGAAAGTGGATGTGTGCAATAGCTGGAATCATTTTGATAACAAACATGCATGAAGTATATTTTGGGGTAAGATGAAACTGACAGTAGCATGTGGGGATGTCACAAACGCCACAGAGGGTACTTCTCAAGTCTCTTAATTGTCGTTTCCTCGCTCCTCGATCCTCGCTTGAACCGGAAGTTGTTTCTGCGCCGCCATATTGACGGCCGTCCCAAAGCTCTAATGTAGCTCGGCGGATGGAGGATGGAGGAGGGACCTCGGAGGAGCCATGAGTGAGGAACCACGAGAACAGACTTCCAGGAAGTCTTTTAACGGCCGACACTCCCCCTCATTGTTCATCTGTTATGTGATTGGACGCTGCAGCCGATCGGACTGACTGACTGGAGTTTAACACCAGAGTGAAGACGGATCACAGAATAAACTTAACGCTTTATATTTGATTAGGTTTCTGATTCACCATCTGGTTTAAATAAATGTTCATTGTAGTCTGAACAACAAAAGGACCACAAACAACTTTCTGCATTTATTAGAAAGATTTGTGTTTTCATGATCTGATGTTTCCCTCAATAACTTTTATTATGAATACAATTAAAGTCAGAGAGAGCTGGAGAGACGAAACACTTTTTAGTTTTATCATTGAAGAGAAACAATAATCATATTCTGGGTTATTTAATAATGACGCCACAGTTACAATTTCAAAACATACAGACGCAAATAATTCATAAATAAGACGATCGCATTCCGCCGGTAGAAATCGATCCTGCGCTTATACACAGGACACAGTTTGTTAACAGACAACAGAGAGAAACACTTCTACAGTGATGATTACTGTCTTTATTAGTTATTATTATTATTAAGTACAGTGATCATGTGAACAGACACAAACTTCTCAAAAGTCTCTCCAGCTGTTAGAGCCGACTGACAGCTGATCCAGCTGTGATCATCAGCCACCGTCATCAGAAACACGTCGCTTCACGTGACGCAACTGAGGAAAGGACGTCTCATGTATTTTAAAACATATTTCCTTGTTCCTCTCCTTGCATGGTTTCCTCCATGCATCCCTGGTGAGAGGGACTAAGACGCAAGGAAAGGACGCAAGTGAGGGAAACGGGGATGCAATTAAGAGACTTGAGAAGTACCCAGAGAACAGGCCCCAGTCAGCCCTAATGGTGTTTTTGCAGACATTAAGGAGGACAGGATTGTTGATCAGTACCAGTGACACTTAAACCATACATTTAAATCATGATCAATGAATTATACTGCACTAGTGAAATATTCTACGTCCTGAGGCTTTAGCCACACTGGCATTGTGACTTGATGAATGGCATTGTTGGTCTGTCCACCACTTTGGTCCAGACTAAAACTGTTGTGTGTAAAATGTCTGTGTGTTTTGTTGTGTGCGAGTACATATTGTCCTGTCTACAGAATGAGTTTGTGTGTATGCCCATGTCAGAATTAGAGGCTGAATGTTAAATGTCACAGATAACGCTCTCTAAGAATCAAAGCCAGGGTGATATCTAGTAAGATGAAAATAAAGCTATCCTTGGTTCTATGTCCTTGTTCTCTCGTCAGCAGAGTCTTAGTCATTTATCTTTCAGTGGGCATTGAGTTCTGTCTACTAACTCTTCATAAAAGTTCATTAGTCTTCCTGGTAGCAACTCCATTGTCATAATTGTGTTTGAAGCACTTCTGTGTCAAATTTATGTTTCAAAACTCGGCAAAGTAAAATGTAACAGTAATGTTGGCTTGAGATCAAAAGACTGTCAATAAAGAGAATGTGGTGACCACTCTCCTTCACAAATTCCTCTTCTGTAGACATTGATCGTTATTTTGAAATATTGCTTATGAAATGGTACTTTTGATTAGGTTTTGTCGTTAACTTTGCTTGAGGAATGTTGCCCTGCTGTATAATCAGAACTAACTTTCTTTTGTTTTGTGCAACAATCCAGGCCTCATGGAGCTGGGGACTCAACGGCTGCTGTACACCAGGGAGCTCGATCCATGCCCGGTTCCCAGCAAACTACCATAAAGGGTGGGAACCTTGATTGCCCTTTGGCCCCTTTTTCCCATCCCTCCCCCTAAATTGTCCCAGTGGTGATATTGTCCTCTCCCGCCTGTGGCCTGCAAAATGATTGGCAAGCTGAAACAGAACTTGCTGGTGGCGTGTCTGGTCATCAGCTCGGTCACGGTCTTCTACCTGGGCCGCCATGCCATGGAGTGCCACCATCGCATCGAAGAGCACAGCCAGTTGGGCGGTATCCTGCCTCTGTCAGCCCTGGGAGGCAGCATGCGGACCACCTTACGGACAGGCCAGAATCTTAGCACACCTTTTGTTTACAACAAAGACATGCCACTCATCTTCATCGGCGGAGTGCCCCGCAGTGGGACTACGCTAATGCGAGCCATGCTGGACGCCCACCCTGAGGTGCGCTGTGGCGAAGAAACCCGCGTCATCCCTCGTATCCTGGCCATGAAGCAGATGTGGAGCCGCTCAGGCAGGGAGAAGATGCGCCTGGACGAGGCTGGTGTGACGGATGAGGTGCTGGACGCTGCCATGCAGGCCTTCCTGCTGGAAATCATTGTCAAACATGGAGAGCCCGCCAACTTTCTCTGCAACAAGGACCCTTTTGCTTTGAAGTCGCTCTCCTACCTGGCCAAGATCTTTCCCCGTGCCAAGTTTGTACTCATGATTCGTGATGGCCGGGCTTCAGTCCACTCCATGATCTCAAGGAAGGTAACAATTGCCGGCTTTGACCTGGGCAGCTACCGGGACTGCCTGACCAAGTGGAATCGGGCCATAGAGACAATGTACACTCAGTGCTTGGAGGCAGCGGACAAATGCCTACCTGTGCACTACGAACAGTTGGTCCTTCATCCTGAGAAATGGATGAAGACACTGCTGAAATTCCTTGACGTTCCTTGGAATGATGCCGTCCTCCACCACGAGGAGCTTATTGGGAAAGCTGGAGGAGTGTCCCTCTCCAAGTAAGTAATTGTGACAGCTCCTACAACATTTCCTTTGTCCTTTCCTTAGCCCACAAACCAAGCCCTGACATCTTGTTTGCGGATTTTGAAAGCTAGTAGTTATAGCAAGGACACCAATGGATCTTCACTGTGTCTTATGTTTTGGTGATAGTTTGAGTCTCGTAGGAAAAATGGGTTGCAGCAGAAAGATAGTGAATGGCTCTTTTTAATTCGATGGAATCTTTAGGCCGGACACGGTCAAGTCAGGTTGAACTTTTACACTTATTGTTTACACTGTAATTGTAGCGACACACAGTAGAACATCACTCTGGCTATTGTGACTGTGTCTTTGATCCCACTTGTTTGTAGCTTGGGGAGACTTGCCCATGTACTTACATCCAGACACAGCTGTTCAATTTCAGAGTAATTACAACATCAGCCATTGCAATGCCTTTTAAGAATAGATTTTTTTATTCAAGCAGTACACTCAAGCTAAAATTCTAACCTCCATTGTCTTCTTGTTGTTCCTTGTTTGTTGTATTATAGGGTTGAGTCCTTGTAAAATGGGGGTCAACGCCCCTTGTCTGTACCACTATGCTTCAGGGTCATTTAGGGACTTGGGTACCACCAGTGAGGACACACTGAATCACCACCCATTAGTGTGTCATGCCGTCCATGTTGATGCCGATAATGAGCAGCAGCTTTTTACAAGGCGCTTCCTCTACAGCTGCAGATTTATTACATTGTTCATTGCTGACATAATGGTGGTTAGATAAATAGTTGCTGTTGTAAGAAGTTGTGATTTGTGCCAGCCTCACACGGCCCACGTGGTAAGCTGGGTCTCCCATGCATCACATTCCCAGTGCAGGAGAAATGAGCTTCGACATGCCCACGTCTACTTAGTTTTTAACTACTTGGCCTTGTGGGGGAGAAGTATGGATCTGCTTTTAACTGGAGGAAAGTGACAGGCGGCAGTGTGTACTTTGTATATCATTTTTTTATTAAATATGAGTTCCTGCGGGCCTTCAAATAAGCATGCACCTCTGGCTTTGAAATAAATCCTTCCCATGTTTTCACAAAGCCTCCAGACTTTCCATCATTACATCTCATTTGGAAATTAAACATCCTACAGCTCAGCACAGCGAGGAAGCTAGTCATTAGTGAACACATGAGATTATGTCTACTCTGCAGTATTGTAAGCAGGTTTTCCTAATGGCCCTGCCTGGTGTCAGAGTTGTTTTGGTTTTAGCCTCTGGAAGTCTTTGAGGAAACGCTGAAGGGTATCAAACTCATTCCTTGCTTCTGTCTACCCCCCCTCTGTTCCACCCTCATCCTGCCACGTAGCATAGAGCTCACATATCCTCTGGGAGGGCTTCACACTCAGTCTTCTACTGGTAGAACTGGAGTTCCAACGTTCTCACTGGTTGCAAAAGCACATATTTATTCAACAGTTTATCAGTGGTGGAATGTAACATTTACTCAAGTAATACTGTATTTAAGTCAGGGTAGGAAATTTACATATTTTTTAGGGGGCAATTTTTGCCCCCACTGGCTGAAATCCAGGGGCATTTAAAAAAAATTGGGGGCACTTTTTGAAACATGTGAAATAACATTTAACCTTTGTTCAAAATAACAAATATACTTATGTAGGCTTACAGTATATGAGCAATTGTCATCAAATGGCAGTAAGACTATTAGCAGTGGTCTACAGATTCAAAGTGTTTTCTTAGATTTTTTTGAACAAAAAACAAACAGAAATCAGACAATCATTTTCAATTTATTCTTATTTCTTTGTGGTTATTTATTATTATTAAATTTTTTTTAAACAACTATTAACAATTATTAAGTCAACACTGCCTTGCTTACATATACATCAGTCATTGTATGGAATTATTGAGAAAGATATTTTTGTAGCACCTCAAATATTGTGATATTACCCATTTTTGTCCTGAATATATGCATTAGTCATTGTATGGAATTTTTGAGAAAAACATTTTTATAGCACCTTAAACAATTTTAAAATGTGCCATTTGAAGGTACAAATTCAGTTCAGAGTTTTTTGCTGAGTAAAATATCTTAATTGACTGTCAGTCAGGTATTATTAATTTCCAGCAACCCTCAAATCAAAGAATAAAGACACTTTGCGCACAATTTAGGTGTATTTTTTCCTTTAAAACCTCCTCCACCCCATCCCTATTTTGGAGCAAAACCGCCTAAAATGACATACCCAAATTAAAATGGCTGTAGCTTCTGAACCACTCAGACTATATGCATCAATGAGGTCTTTCTAGAAAGAAAACCCCCTAAGGTTCCTTGTGGAAGTATCTGAGACCTGTAGGTCATACAGAAACAGAGCAGTGGTCCTTTGACCTCGGTAAAAATTGAAGATTTTTGTCTGCCTAAAATAAAAAGTATCTTTCAGTATAAATAACTGCCTGTGGCTGTATCTGTACAGCGGACTTGCTGTGTGTAATGGCTGCGACAGAGCGCACGATCGAGTATGCCGGTAGCTCATTTATGCAAGGTTATACGTTGGTTTACGGCTTACGTAAGAAACAGTCAAGGTTTGCACTATAAGTACTAGCGTTTTCTGAAGGCAATAGTTCCATGGTAACATCCGCTAGCACATTGTCGGGTCTGTAATGTGTCTTTTTCCGTCGAAATGCTGCAAGATCCGACTTGCAGCGGTTATGGCGACTTTAGACAGTGTGTGTTTGGGCTCCGTTTGTGACAAAATCCAGAAGAAATGAAAGAAAATAGATGTTTTCTTTGCAAAGATGAGGATTTGGGGCATGCTGGGATACCAAACCCGGCCATGTTTTGTGACGTATTTTGCGGAAGCAAGCCATACGAACGGAAGGGGAGGGGATCGCGGACGCCGGCGTCCTCGCCAGAGTGGAGAAGGTAAACTCACGAGATGCAGGTAGCATGGTTTATACTTAACGTGAATATAATTCATTTAATCTAATTCCCATTATGCAATATGTATACTTTGTTGGCATCTTATTCTGAAAACCGGATATTCGTCTGAAGAAACCGGATGTTGTCTCACGTTAATCTTTCCGCTAGCTTTCAAAGTCCTTCGCTCGCTCCCGATCTGCACCGTTTGAATGAGTTTACCGTGAATTTCAGCATATAGGTGCACTAAAATTTAAGTGTCGGCTCAGTTGACCGCAGTCACAGGTCTGAAGCGCTCCATTTATTTGTTTAGAAAGTTCGGTTCTTCACGCACACGCAACATCAGTCAAGGAGACAATCAAAACCATTCTATGGCAACTGGACTGGGTCATATAGGCTACGATGTTTTTGACAAGTTCATTAAATTATCATTATTATTATTAGAGGAAATTATGGGGGCATTTTTTGCCCCCTCCTAGTGATATCAGGGGCAAAATTATATTTCTTAGGGGCATTTTTGCCCTTTGCCCTCGTGTATTTCCGACGCTGATTTAAGTACAATTTTGATGCTACTCTTTACTCCACTACATTTCAGAGAGAAATGGTGTAATTTCTACTTCACTGAAACACACACAAAACAAAGATAGATATATATATATATGTATATATGTGTATGTATATATGTATATATGTATATATGTGTATGTATATGTGTATATATGTGTATGTATATGTGTGTATATATGTGTATGTATATGTGTGTATGTATGTATGTATATGTGTGTATGTATATGTGTGTATGTATATGTGTGTATGTATATGTGTGTATGTATGTATGTATATGTGTGTATGTATATATGTATATGTGTGTATGTATATAT